TGGGTCTTTTTGACAACAGGTACAAAACAGTCATTGTAGTTATCTCCATCATGGTTGATCGCGCTGTTTTTATTCGCGTGAGTGACACGAAAAAAATCCCGCGAGTAATCTAGAGCGAGTGACGCGATGCGCATATTCGCTTCGCATCTGGTGTGAACACACCAGACGCGAATGTAATTATTCGTGCAAGTAGCTTACATACAAAGTCAACGCAAAGACGCAAATAGAGATGAATTCGCGCCAGGCGACGCGAATGACGCGAAATGCGCGACGCGTTTGCCGCGAACGCGAGATATTCGCCTCAATCGCGTCTTTCGCGCGAGTTCAAAAATTTCAACTTGAGCGGAAAATTCGCCTGACGCGTTCTCGCGCAAGCCAATCAGCGAAGAGCTTATAGGCACGTCTGGTTGAATCAGACAATAGAAGAGAGCATTATTGCAGCCGTCTGTTATTATATAGGTCTGGAGCATAGAAAACAATTAACAGCAGTTGTAGTGGTAGTTGTATTTATGATGTATGTATATTGTATGCTATCAATAATAAAAATAATAGTAATATCAGTGTATATATACAGTAGTAAAATGTAAGACACACATTAATACAGGACCTCTGGATGGTGCTGTGAACCCAGACACGTCGGCGTTTGGCTTTCCATTGTATTTGGGACTTTTTGACAACAGGTACAAAACAGTGATTGTAGTTATCTCCAGCATGGTTGATTGCGCTTGTATTTATTCGCGCGAGTGACACGAAAAACATCCAGCGAGTAATCTAGAGCGAGTGACGCGATGCGCATATTCGCTTCGCGTCTGGTGTGAACACACCATTACATTCAAGGGTTAGTGAGTCAGTGAGTGTGAAATATGGCTCTAATGCAAATGTAATCTAATGTAAGCAAAACCAATAAATAAAAAAAATATATATAAATACAAAATAAATAAAATAAGTTGTTGGACAATTCATAAATTTACCCATCACTGTATGAGGCTGAACCCCAGTGAAATCCAAATAAAGAAATATTAAATTATATTTTGCTTAAGCTGACGTCTTTAAGGACATTTTTGTTCATAATATTATGGCATAATATCATGACAATTAACTACTGCTTTCTTCTCTATTTATCTTTCCCTATTTATGATTCCCATAATGCAAAAAACAAACAAAAAAAGGTGCCAGAAGAACTACCTCCAAACAGCAGCTAACAACCAGGCCTCTGGTTACCATGGCTGAAAAGACACATCAGCAAGATAAGACTGTTTCACAATCCAAAGGAATTGAGAGAGTTTCATTCTCACTTAGAAACAGATTAATAAACCCTTTTAATCCTATACATTCAATATATAACTACCTGAGAGAAATGTATAAACATGTCTCCAATCTTCCCGTCTTAAGATTTTCCTTTTATTATTCACGCTTCAAAAGACTACTGTCTAAAAACACAGCAGATATAGTTTTTTTTTTCAGACAGAGATTCTTCCTCTTTTCTTCCTCAAGAATTAGAAGTCTTTCTATTCATCAGTGACCTTCTGCATCAAACCTGGTTCTCTCTCATCAACAAAACTTCAGCAAAGACCAACCGGAGCCTCATCAGGACTCTCTTTCAAACAGGCAAGACATGCAAGTATTAAACTCTTCTTAACTGATACATTAAGCATTACCAACCCCTTTTCACAAAGGTGTGTCAAAACTAAGAAACTGATGTTTCCTTCAGGCTTTAGATCTGCTGAATATCAAATACTTCCATAAATTTCATCGTTCACTCTGCTTCATCTTTAACCTTCTTCCTCTACCAGAATATGTGTGTGTACTGGTATTCACTACATTCTGGAGACATGTTACATAATTAGACATGTTACATAATAAGAATATGTATTTTTTAATATATATATATATATATATATAATTTCCTAATATTGTTAATATTGTAATTTTGGGGGTGAAATGTGACCTAAGCCTATTTTACTATTATGTGATATCCAAAATAGACGTCAGTACCATAGCTACTATCCATACATCCAGTGAGAGTGAATGTGGTCAGATAAATGAAACTCAAAATAATCATTAGTATTACCTTATGTCTAATGGAAAATGTTAATAGATACATTTGTCAGAAGACAAAAAATCTTTTGCAAGTAGTGGTGTAAAATTGCTTTGCTTTGCCATCCATAGTGCTGATCACTACTCAGCAGTGTATTTTATTTTGTGCTTATATATAGTTAGTATTTTCTCTATTTTTTATTTTTTTATTCATTATCAGTAGGGTGTCAAAATGTGTCACAGATTACCTGAATTCACGCCTATATATTTTACAAATTCTGATTTCATGATGCATTGCATTTAGTGTAGAATCATAACAGAATTGTCAAGCAAAATATTTACATCCCCTACTTACAAGCATACCATGCTAGTGACTTCCAGTCAGATACAGCATACGTCAAGAAATTCACTGAAGAAAAAACAGAAAGAGCACTTTTAGAAAAAGTTTAATATTTATCTCAAATAATACTTTTCAAAATATTTCATTTAACAATCTGCAGTACAGTTCTCTAGGGTTCATGACTTTGCTCACGTCAAAGAACACATACGAGCTGAATCTTTCATAAAAGCTCGTATATATTGACATTAGTTGGAAAATTTTAAACCATAGACATATACTTATGGGTAGATAAACAATTAATTTACATTTTTATACAGTAAAAACATTTATTTTAACAATTTTACCTACATGAATCAAAAAAGTACAGCATATTTAATAATTTTACAAATTCTGCATAAAAAATATATTTCTGTACAAAAACATCTTTTGCACCTACTTCAAGTCAGCAGCACATGATCGAATGACAATGGCGAGTAGCACAATTGTTGGTTTGAATGCAGTTTTACAGCTCGACAGTCGCAAAACTATTTTACAGTTGTGAGGACAAAAAACTGTACAAAACGCAACCGAACAAAGAAACATTATTGCAGCAAGCCTAAGAAAAGGCAAGACGTGGGTCATCCGCGGTGTGAGAAAACGTCTCGGTTACGTATGTAACCCTCGTTCCCTGAAGAAGGGAACGGAGACGTCACGTCGGTGATGACCGACGAATTGGGGTCTCGCCAGAGAGACCAATCCACTTTGTGGCTCGGCTCCGAAGCGAAAAGCTGAATATGCGTTGCATCTGCTGCCTACTTATACTCACGCTGTGATCAGCAGCAGCTGGATGCAATAATCGCATGCCAATGTGCATTGGCTCGTTTAGTTTACACTCGAAGTGGATTGGTCCCTCTAAGCGATATCCCAATTTTGTCGGTCAACCGACGTGACGTCGGGAGTGACCGACTGAAAGGGAACCGACACCGCCCTTTTACTACCAACGGGCCGAAATGGTTCGATCTGAGAGCATGACTCAACGGAACACATCCAAATGCATTTGGAAACAAAACGTGGTTTTGACTTAAAAAAAATACAATCAACGTGGAAATGACATGATATCCGACAGCAAGCCTACAACAATGTCATTGTGCACATTTTATGCTCGAAGCCGTCGTTGTGTAGCGCGCAAGTGCATATGGTAACACAGCATTGAGAAAACATCAGGCATCACGTTGTTCACGTGGAAAAATGGGAGCACTTACAGTTTTAGCACATGCACTGGAATCAGCGTGGTCATGACATTTAAATCACAGTGAATATGCACCCCAGCAGCCCTACGCTCTTCATCTAGGTTAATGTACTAATGATATGGGTCATTGGGAACCGGTGTGGCCCGGTCATGCTTCTGAATCTAATAAGGCAGTGTTTCTTCGAGAGTAAGTTTGATCTTAACCCGCTGATTTTGTGTCTCTAATGGGCACGGGAGATGCACACTGGTTCGGAAAAAGGAGGAATGGAAAAATAATGACAATAAAAAAAAGCATCAACTTGTGGGCTCAGATAAATCTTGTATAGGCATCCACACAGAGCTGATGAATGAACTCAAAATCTGCGCCATCAACATACAGTCATGTTCTGCACAAGAGGTATATTTGATACATAATGAAAGCAAATTGGTGATACGGCAAATTGGTGAGTAAAGCTATTATGATTTCAAAAGTAAAAATGAAATGTAATTTGTCAGCATACGCTGGTCCAAGCGAGTGATCCGACACACCACGAAGGAACAGTACAACATGTGCGTGACGTGGTGTATGATGAACGCATTAAAAAGCAATGAAAAAATGATGATCGTAAGTTTCAACTGTGTCCTTATCACCTTGTAAACATAAACAGAACTTCATTTAAAAAAATAAACTCAGTCTCTCTTGATAGCCGTAGCATGACATCATGCCCTCTATGGATATGGGTTAATGTTTATATACATATGGTCAATAAAACCCTGTATATTATTTTTTGTTTCTTCCAATACATTGATTTCATATCCATTTCATACTAGTGCAAAATTTGTGCCATAAAGTTTATTCTTTTTTTCAACGCAGCGGTTGAGTTCCATCGTCCACCCGGAGGTGAGCGTCTCTCCTTTGAGCTTGTTGTAGCATTTTGTCACCTTCTAGGTGGAGATCTATTAAGTGTGCTAAGCCACAGTAGTCCAGTTGCTTTCTCGTTTTGTGGTTTGTCTTCACTGAAGAAAATACATCGTGTCAACAACTTTGTGGCGTTCAAAGACACTTCAGTATCTTTCCCAGGAAGTCTTTTAAGGGGGGAATACATAAAAAAAAGATAAAAGCAAAAAACCTTCATCCTTTAAGTGCCACGTACAGATCCCAGAAAGAATGTTGACCTCAGTTCTGGCCGAACATGCGTCAAGTGAGCTTCTTTCTTTGAAAAATATTTTTTCTTTGAAGTTTTTTTTCTGTGGTTTTGATGTTGTTGGGTCTTTTTTTGTTTTCTGTAAAAAACATAGTCATCGGTTTTATTTTGTCCATTGTAAGCTTGTGATAAAAGTAAGTCGCATCTATAGCAAAGTGCAGTCAGTCGTAAAGGAGTATTGGCGTCTGGTACCCACTGCTCTGCTGCTTACCCATGAGGCAGGTCGGTCCAGAGCTGATAATGAAGGCTATACTACTGTGCAGACTGTATTGAGGGTCGTATCAAACCTCACAGCCTTTGCCTCTGTTGGCTTCATGTTTGTATCGTACATGGGATTCTCAAATGAAGCTTGTCCATTAGTGTTCTCGTGGCCTGCATATCCGTTGTACTGAACTTTTGGTCTTGTTCTGAAGAGGAGAAAAACAAAGATGGCAAATGGTTAAGAGGAATAAGGACTTCTTTCAAAGCCAAAACGCAAATGTATTAATTCGCTTACATTTATTACAACAAATTCCAGTGTCATTTTCAATTATGGAAGAACAACATAAGCATTAGACATGTTAGATAAAACCTAAAACAAAAGAACATGATGTCCTCGATGGGAACAATGGGAAGTGACAAATATGTTAGCTGGGTTAAATTACAAATGTAGGACAGGAAAATAGTGTATGGAAATTTTCATTCAAAAACAGTTAAAGAAGCAGTTCATCACAAAATTAAAATTTGGGCATTTACTCACCCTTATGTCATTTCCACCCTATACATTCTTACATGAAATGCATTATAAACGTAGTCTATATGGATTGAGTCCTATGTAGAGCTGTCCTTACTTACACTGTAGCTCACAATGCATTTTGGTCAACTTGACATTTTTATGCAACACTGTATTAAAAATGCAAAATAGTTTTATTTCCAAGAAGATGCCACTTGCTTGAATTAAAAATGTAATGAGGTCAGGTGATAATTTAAAACATTTTGAAATAATGCCTATGGAATACTAGCATACTGTGGAGTAAATGCTGAATTATTGCATACTTCTTTTTCCAAATAGTACAGATTTTAGCAGTATGCTCCATTGTCAAGCGTTGCTGTGTTTGTCACATGACAAATTATTTTGCATTTTATTTCAATTTTGAGCAAAACTCTTGGCTGATCTGATCAAATAATGAATTACTTTCGAGTCATTTAGCATACTGAAATGTGAGATCAAATTGAGTGCATTATGCTCTGTGGTATAATGCATTTTGGCAAATGTAGTTGATAATCTAGGTATTCTATATGGTAATAAGCTATTTTTAAAACTCCTCTCCTTATTCAACTGGAAATTTTGCTGCTTCTTACCACCAATAATTAAAACCATGGAAAAAAAAAATCACATTTTGGAAAGGTCACTGACTTCTTGATGATCTAAATTTTGAATACTGTAACTGATTCCCAGGCTTGCTCAGATGACAGTGGATGATTTATGATCTTGCTAAAATTGTACGGTCTAAATCTAAATAAATGACCTACATCCCGTTCCCAATTCATATTTCCACTGACTAACAGACTCTGGCGTGTCACCACATCAGACACAAATGACACCACACTTGACAGAAATGACTTGACAGAAATGACAATCTAACAGTATGCAAGTCACTTCTTTTCCCATAATCCCTGCACACTGTCCTGCCTCAGATGAGATGAGCAAATAAAATGCAGACAATGAAGGTGTGGCTGTAAGGGTGCTCGTCGCCTGTGGCATTAGCTTCCGGTGACTTACCTGGAGGCAGCCAGGTCTTTGGGTCTCTCATTGTCATCTGTGCCTTGTGATAGAGCCCTGCCAATTTTTTTATTATTTTAATATCGGGGAACTCTCATGCTTCATGACAACTTTGTCACATGTTTTGTTTGTGTAGGAAAACTCCCATGCTCCTTTTTTAAACTTTATTGCCTTAATTTGAACTCGATGGCATTTTAAGAGGTTTGAATTGTTAGTATCTGTAGGCAGATGCAATATCGGTCACAATTACTGGCTTGGCAAAGGAGTTTCCTACCACTGCAGTGACACAATGCCGATTCACATTCATTACATCATTACAAATAACATCAACACACGAGACAGTAAAGTTAGCTGCTCTTACCTGTGTTTGTAGAGGTAAAAGGCAAACCCTGATAAAATAAGCGCAAAGAAGGGCACTAGAATGGCAGCTGCCACAGAACTGCTGTTTGTGCCGTAGTAAGGGTTAGACGGATCCATGTCTGTGGTAATAAGACCTGAGGGGAAATTCAGAATAAACAATTTGAAATTACCACCTGCCTGAAAATCTGTCTGGAATCATAAATTAAATAAGAATTAAATCTATAAACATTATACATTTTAATATATTCATTTACTTTTCATGTATTGAAAAGCAACGAGAAACTGTGAAATGAAATAATCTACCTTGTCTTGTTAACTGAAACTTCCCAAAGTCCTTGCTATGAATGTGCCCTTGGTAAACAAACATTTTTTTCTCAGTTTCTGCTGTAACCTATACAAAAAATAAACATGAAGGTATAACAGGTAAAAAAAAAAAAAATTATATATATATTTATATATATATATATATATAATTATATAAAGCTAATATTAAATATAATATAATATTAAATATAATATAATATAAAACTTATTTTATGAGTAAGAAAGCAATGCAAGATTGCAAATGACATGCACAGTATAAAATACAATGCTTTATTAACTTGATTATTACCACTTTTGTGCTACTCACATATCCATCCATTGCCCAGTTATCATTTTTGAATTTGCTAAAATATTGTTCTGTTGGGCCTCTTATCTGGTAAACTTTTAATAATAGATGATTTTCTTCTTTCTTGTAAGTTCCTGCAAACAACCCAAGGAGAGAAAACAACAACAACTGTTACAACAATTAACTGAAATAACCAACAATATCCATCATCTGGAATTTCTTTTATAAACCTGCATTTGTAATGCTTTTCTGTTTATTTTTGGTCTAGGACTAGGAAGTAGGGCAAAGGAAAACATATTTGGAAAATGCGGAAAGCATCCATAGCTATCAAGCCTGCTCAATTCATCTGAGAAATTGGATGTAATCTCAGCACTGAAGAAATAAGATGCAATGCTAATTCAATTATTCACTCTCCATCTCCCATCAAAGTAAGAAAATCCTTCTCTTTCAGCATGTTTATATGTAGGAGCAGACTCCTAAATATCTTCGAACAAGACATTTGGATCAATGACATGCCATATTGTTGCCGCAGCAGCTGACCGCACATCAGTTGATTTCTATACTGACCCACAAACAACGCTGTTTCTCGTTGTGACTATCAACGTTACTTAATAACATTCTTCATTCCACTTTACATTCACGTTTCATGTTTCTTGCTGTGCTCTAGTGCAAATAACCTAAAGTAGTCCTGCTCACTGACATCTGTGTGGATATATTTACAGATATAAACAGTATAGCAAAACCTCGCCCAACTGACAAATTTGTTCTGTCGTACAATATATCCATCATACTGTACCACCCAGCCCTAGTGTCTTCATTGAACATGGTGACAGAAAACTCCAACTTACCAGAGAGTTTAATGTGCACCCCGCTCTGCTCCAGAAGAGTGACGTTGACCCGGCTGGTGGTGGCATTGAATGCATTGACTATTACTGTGGCAGCCTGTCTCTTTCCCAGGTACTCATAGAATCCAGCCCAACCAGAGTTCAAAGAGAACACATCTGCAGGAACTAAACACAACACATACAGTAATCATTCCTACATCTATGTAATTAAATTAAATACATTACAAGAAGGTAGAGCTTTTTCGCATTTGGCTCCCAAACTCTGGAATAGCCTTCCTGATGACGTTTGAGGTTCAGACACATTCTCTCTGTTTAAATCTAGATTAAAGACACATCTCTTTGGCCAAGCATTCACATAATGCATCTCATAATCTTGTACTGCAGTTATATCTGATCAAATGCACATTATTATTCCTTGGGTTGGGTTGAACAAATCATTTTTGCTTGGTTTAGAACAGCAGCTACGCTAATCATGTCTCTATTTGTTTCTCTGTTTTTGCCATGGGATTGATATCCCGTGGTAACTAAGATTTACACAAGCTTCAGTCTGGATCCAGAACACCTGAGAAGAGATGATGCCAACCCCTCAGAGGACCTCAGATGATGCCAATCCTGAAACAACATAAACTACCAAATTTTGCTATAAGTTTGATCGCAACATATAATCATTGCTGTTAATGGTGTTCATCATCTGTTTGATTACATCATTAACTAAATTTTACCATACATTTCTGCCATATGTACATCAATTAGACATAGTCACCACTGATAAGCTACTACTAAATATATTGTAGAAACTTAATTTTCTGTAAAGCTGCTTTGCAACGTTTGTATTTGTATCGTGAGAAGCGCTACACAAATAAACTTGAATTGAACAAGCATATACACTTGAGTAGATACAGGGGCCCCAAGTATTTGGACATTTAACCCTCTGGGGTCTGAGGCACACATGAAATTGTGCAAAGGTAACAAAAGACAAGCACATTTCATATTGGTAACTGACTTAGTTGATTTCACTAGTAAAATTTCACCAACATCAGCTGCTTAAACATAACTGTAAAAATGGCACAGAAAAGTGAAGTTAGTTCTGAGAAAAGCAGACTTTGTTTGCAGATTCCACTTGTTACAAATGTAATAATAATTTAAGAGTAACTGAAGTGTCTAAAAACTTTTGGACACTGCTAAATGTTAAAGGTGAAATGTCTAATTTCTGCTATAGTAGCGGAAAACAGCTTTCCCAAACACTTCTACAAAACCTACGAAAGGTTTACAAATAGTTGGCCTTTGCCAGTCAAAGCGGGATAGGCAATCAAATTTTAACAATGAAAATAATCACACTTCACCTCTATCTTTGTTACTCTGACATTTTAAAAAATATAATTTTCAGCAACGCAACATCACAGGCCCATTATTTCCAGTGACCATGGTTCAACTTCATGTAGGCCAAGTTTATGTTTGATGGCAGCAAAATGGATCATTGAAGGGGAACTTGAAAGGTTTCATACCACGGATTTTGTTTTTCTGCAGGTCTGGATCCTCATTTGATTTGCTGTTTATTTTTGGTCCAACTAGGAAACAGAGCAAATTGATAATTTTACATTTGTGGATGCAACCTGCACAATGGTAATGACAGTTAATCAAAGTTCCTTGCTGTAGTTTCTCTGAGAACTGACAGACATTAATAACTTTCATACATTCATAAATGCTGACACTGCTGTTCTGTTTAACAATGTACATTTTCAAAGAGTTTAAACTAATCATATATTTAGTCTTAAATGGTTCCAAGAACTAAACATATTTATCACTATAAATCAAAAAGAGTGAGGGCAGTGTAGGTATTTAAGGGATAGTTCCCTCACTGTATTCTCTATGCTGTTTTTATTTTTTCAGGATTTTCATGTTTGGGTGCAGTAACCCACATTGCTTAAGTTATCAGTCCAGTTGTTTCAGTACCTTTGCAGACTGGAGGTTTGCCTGACCACCTCCCATCTGCTTTGCAGGTCCTGTGCTCTGATCCCCCAGATAGGTAGAAACCATTCTGGCATGTATACATGAGTGTGTAACCTAGAGTAGGCAGGTCTATAGCCTTCACGTCTAGATGGGATGGCGTCTCAGGCTGCCTACAGGCATGTGCTGAAAAGAGAAGGGGAAATAAATAAACAGCGATGCTCAAACTAATTTCCACATATCAGAGCCAATTACTTCCAATGGGCAATCACATAAACCCATGCATTTTGGTAATTCACAGGAAATAAGCCTAATGGTCAGACTCAAGTATCACTTTCATGCCAGTTAGTTTATTTCTTTCTTTATTTGTTGTTTTTTGGGGTACACTCTATTTTGACAGTGCATGTTAGACATTCTACTACCTTTAAGTAACTTTGCAATGACATGCCAACTAACTATTATTTATTTGCAACAACGTGTCTCTCATTAGAGTGTTAGTAGAGTATTAGTTATTACTGTTAGGTTAGGGCTAGTAGAATATGTTGACATGTTTTTGAAAAGTTACTTAAGAGTCAGTAGAATATGTGCCATCAAAATAACATGACAGATATTAAGCAGACAGTCTACTAATACTCTAATGATTGGTAGGTGACGTAGTTGCAAAGTTACTTATAGTTAGTAGAATGCCTAAAATAGAGCATCAATATAAATGCTACCTTTTTTTTTTTGTCTTTCCCAGATCTCTATATCAAGGACATAATAAGACCCTACACACAATTAATATTATTTTAACATATATCAATAAGCTGCAGAATTGTTTAAATTGTTTATCTTGAATCTGTATCTATGTTTTTTTCTGTCTATTTAATATTATGTTCAGTAATGTTTCTTATTATATTATTTTTTTATTTTTTTTTATTTTGCAACATAAAAAAGAAGAAGGAAGAAAAACATAAGTAGAAGGCTTATTTGTTCTAAGGTGGACTTAATAGGACATCACTACTGATATGAGGATGCATACACTACTAATATTTTATTTACAGCTTAAATTCATGCATCTTTTTTAACTCCTGGATAATGATTTCATTTAATTTGTTCACTAAACTCCATGAGAGTGGCATATTTAATCTAAATGAGTGTAAATGGATAGGTTCCCTTCCAAGGGAACTTCGAACTGCGTCCTCTAGGGGTCGCTATGGGGAACGCCTCGTCGTGACATGTGTCTGAAGCATACATTGAAAAAACACCAACAACACGTTGGCCGGCGACAGCCCATGACGTCACTACCGGTGCGACTATTAGTATAAATAGGCGCCGTGAAAACATGTCATTCTCTTCTTCGTCTTCACTGACTGTTTTGTTTGAAGCGTGCATTTGAATGTGGTAAGAGCGATCTCTATCCTATTATTATGGCGAGCACTAGCAGAACGTTTAGAGGATGTGTGCATCCGTGTCGTCGCTATTTGACACCTGATGACACACACGACCTCTGCGTTTTTTGTTTGGGTGAGGAGCACACACGCTATGTCCTTGAGGGGGCAATTTGCGTGCATTGTGAGCGTTTTTCAATGAAAAAGCTCCGTTCTCGTTTGTCTCTTTTTTAGAGTAAAGAGGGGCAGCCATCTGCTTCCCGTGGTTCAGGACCCACCGCTGCTGAGGCACGGAGGAGAATGAGCTCGTGGGGATCGCAGGTGGA